TTAAGAGCAGGCTTTTTATTCCCTTATGTCCATTAGCTCTTCTGCGGGTATTTGCCATTGTTGCTGATAGCCAGCAAATCCAGATATTAGAGCACTTATCTTGGTTGTGCTGAGTCAAAACCTGCTTATTGTGATTACAGTCTACCACTCAGATCCCCCACTCCTTCAGTGAAGGCTTCATACCTTAAGGTTGCTCCTGGCTGGCTGCGAAGTGCTGTAGCTAGAAAGCAGCTTTTCTCTCTCCAGAAAGATATTTCTGTCTCCTCCACCTCAGTCAGCACTGTCCCTTGTTGTGGGGGTTCTTTTTATCCAGTTTTCAGTTCTCTCTCATGGGTAACTGTTCCAAGAGGTGTTGTAAACTTGTTGTGTAGATGGGAGGAGGTGAGTTCAGAGTCTGCCTTTGCCATCATCTTCACATCATCCTCAGGAAATTCTTTAAGGCCCTTAGTTGGCCTTTGACCAAGGAGTAAAACTTGCCTGAAGAGGATTGCCTGTAGTCTCAAGTGGTCATTTTTTAAAAGGCAACTGTTCAATGATCTCTTTAGAGTGGAAAGTCAATTGAGATAAAAGCATTACTGAATGAGCACTGGAATAAAGGAAGATAGAGAGGAGCAGTAGGATTTATATTTGTCTTATAGTCTTTTACTTTAGGTACCACTTGTGTTTTCAATTTTCATTAGCCTTTTACAACAAATATTTCGACAAAAGCATTTTGGAATTTTGAAGCCTTTTGGAGGCTTCTGCATAATTAAAATGGGCACCGCAAACTTTTAAGTGCACTTCCTAATAGATGTTGTTTGACTGGAATATTCCTCATAATGGCCATTTTAATTTCCCTGAAATTGGCAGCAGTTTAATAGGGCACTTAGCCACAAAGTTCAGTTCACATTTCTGTTCAGTCTTATCTAGCTGCAAATGGGGTTGTACCATATTTTAGGGCTCAACCTGACAGTTACCAAGCCAAGCTCTCAAGACACAAAATTTTAGATTATCTTTAGTAAGATTCTGACTATTTTTATAGATATTTTAGCTACCAGGACCATAGTTCTTAAGCAGGTGTGCCAGAATGTGGTGTGTTTAACTCTTTTGTTTTTAAGGATTCAATATTTATTACTATTTATTTTTAGTTATCTCCTGAGTCCTGACATTTTAAAGACATGTAAGGTTTATATTTTCAAGGGATAAAGAAAGAATGCAAGTATTCTAGGAGTTTGGTGATATATTCATCTATTACCATAACTCTAGGCTAATTACAATTTAAATTTTTCCTTTTCCTTCTGAAGTGTAGGACAATTGTACTTCCAATGTCCTGACTTTTTAAATAATATCTATAAAGATCTGCAGGCAAATAGGAGAAGGTCTGAATGAATTTTGAGTTGCTTTCAGAGTTGATTTTTTTGCTTCTCTAAAGAGTCAAGTTGCCAATCAAGAATTATTTATTTTAATTATTTTTCTCTTTTTCTATTACTACAAGCTATCTTCAAAGAATTGGTTAGCCATATCCATTATGATACTTAGGCAATACTAGTCCACTCAAGCCCACTAATTGAATTTGCCTTTTTATTTATTTATTTATTTATTTATTTGAGGAAGATTAGCTCTGAGTTAACATCTGCTGCCAATCCTCCACTTTTTGCTGAGGAAGACTGGCCCTGAGCTAGCATTCATGCCCATCTTCCTCTATTTTATAGGTGGGATGCCTGCCACAGCATGGCTTGACAAGCAGTGCATAGGTCTGCACCTGGGTTCCAAACCGGCAAACCCCAGGCTGCCAAAGCGGAACGTGTTAACTTAACCACTGCACCACCAGGCTGGCCCCTATTTTGCCTTTTCTTTTTTTTTTAAAGATTTTATTTTTTCCTTTTTCTCCCCAAAGCCCCCCGGTACATAGTGATGTATTCTCCGCTGTGGGTTCTTCTAGGTGTGGCATGTGGGACGCTGCCTCAGCGTGGTCTGATGAGCAGTGCCATGTCCGCGCCCAGGATTCGAACTGACGAAACACTGGGCCACCTGCAGCGAAGCGCACGAACTTAACCACTCGGCCACGGGGCCAGCCCCTTGCCTTTTTATATTGAGGGAAATTTTTCCTGTTAAGGCAGAAATTGAAAGATTTCTATATTCTGGAATTTTAAGGTTTAGTGCAGTATGCTTTTGAAAAGTCTGCATAAAGCAATGAATAAAGGCCTTTGAATGTTCTCCTTCTTTCTGGGTATACAATAGAACCTTGGGCCAATTCACCTTAGGTGGGGACACCATTACTATTGCTTCTATTAGCCACTGAGCATTAGCCTCCAGCTGATCCATTTCCTGATTATTTGTAGGAGAGCCTGGGAGTTTGCTGAGGAGACAGGGCCCTTTCTAAGAAGGGGGATTAATGTTGGATGTGGACTTTAATTTTTGTTCCAAGTCTAATTTCTACTCTTTTATCTTTGTAAATGAGTCTCTAAGGCTAGCTGTCACACTCCTTTGTATCCACTTTTAATTTGCTAATTTTTAGCTACTAAGATGACAATTCTTTAGGATGAGAGGTCTCTAAGATCTTTTTCGATCTATTAGTTTTTCTAATTGAAAGGATTCACTGTCAGCCCATTGATGAGTAGGATCTATTAATGTTAATAGTGACTCAAACCAGTAAGTCTTTTTATGGCTTAACCATGGATGCAAGAGGTATCACAAAGGAGACTGCAAAAAATGTAGCCCTCACAAAATCCAGCCAAAGAAGACAAGGACCTTTGTTATCATAATGAGAAAATGAAGATTGAGACAACAAAGTCCCCTGATAGACTGGGACCCATTATGACAAGAGTCCCCCGAGAGCTGGAATGAAGTCATCCAGTCAAATGAAGAGCCCTCTCACTGGACCCAGTCCAACCCAAGTTAAAGCCAGTCTGGCTTCAGCTTGGATTCACAGCCTGCTTGGCTGTTTGCCAGATGCATATCAGTACACACAGCCTGTGGTCAGTGGTGGCCAGAGTAAATACTCTCACTCATGAAAAAGCCAAGCTGTCAAGACATAGAACAGGAGACAAATGAAAACAGAGGAAAAGGACTAATAGAAAACAAGAGTACTTATACCAAATCTTTACCAGAGTCACTGTACTCAAGAAAGAAGTTACATAAATATTTTCTTCTGGTAATCTATATTTAGAAAAAGAAAAAAGGACTTTCACCACTCTTGCTTCCACCACACCCTGCAGATAGAGATCTAGGAGACTGATGTAGTGAGAATTCTTACCTTCTGCCAGACCTTGTCAGAGGTTCCAGGATCTCTCAGCTGCAGCAGCCCCAGAGTGAGCAGCATCCTGACAGTGAAGGTCCTATCTGGGTTGCCAAAACTGTAGGGGCAGAAAAATTTTCCCTTCTACCGTTCTAGTTTCTTTGGCTGGTCTAATAATTAAATTGACATAAGACAGATGGACAGGAGAAAAACAAATTTAATTTTGTAATTATGGGAATTCCATTAAAAATATGGGACCTAGGGGCAAGTCAGGCAGTTGATACTTAGATGTTGTCCTGAGCTAAGGAATGAAATAGGGCCCTGGGGCCTCAAAGGAGAGGAGAGTAACTCACAGGACAATAAGAAGAGCAGATTTACGGTAATCAGATTTTGCCCTGACATACAGAGGGTTCATTCAGATAAAGTTATTACTGGTAATAGCTCTGTCTCTGAGCCAGGCCCCTTATCTAAATTCTTTTAGGTAGTTAAGGGAGAGGTAAATATTTTCTTGAGTCTTCTGCATCTCAATTCCCTTCAGCTCAAAATAATGTCAAAGTGGCATATCTTCCCTCTCTGATGGATTCAAGAAAAGTTGTGATTTTGATTATCCAGTTTTTTTTTAAATGGTAAGTATGACAGTGACGCTCTTTCCAGGTTTCTATTACAATCTTAACTTTCCAACAAATTATTTTCTTCCTTAAATTAGCCTGAGATAATTTATCTTTACTTGTAAACCAAGAAATAACAAAATAAATAGCCCAAACACAATTATCCTGGTGGCACAAAGTACAAACAAATATTTAAGAGCCTTTAAACAGTTATAAACATCATGAAACAGGGAGGTCAGCTTGTCCAGCAGACACCAGCTTATATAAGACTGGTATGGAACATTTAATCAGGACCAATAAGAAGGGAATTTTGGATAAATGGTTCCAGAATACTCTATTAACTTCCCACAAGTTCTCATTGGTTTCTTATTATAAGTAATAGGATTTACAACAGGATTCTGTGTGTAAACTTCATGTTTATTAGCATGTGCTTTCTTCCTAAATAAAACCCTGTAATGTTCTCATTTCACCAAGGATGGTTACAAGAAATGCTTTCTGATGTCTTAAAAATATTTTATATTCAAGTTCTCCATAATTTTCAATAATAATTACATGCCTGAGACAAATTATTCCATCATTTAAAAATATTCATTGAGCACCTACCACTTACCAGGCATTCTGTTAGATGTTGGGGATCCAGCACAATAGGAGTATTGGTCCAACACCCCAAGCCAACCACTGAAGTCAAGATTCTGAGTGCATAAACATCAGTTAAGGATCACAACTTTAGAAAATGTTGTTTAAAGCATGCTTTTTTTTTGTTTAGAGAGTCTAAACATTATAAGAAAACTCAGCACACCAAAACTTATAATTCTTGGTTTAATTGTTTTTCTTCCAGAGTAGACTAAAACCTCCTTGAATAAAGTCATCTCATTTTCAACCACTGTATATTCATGGGTGTAGTAAGATGCTTGTATGCAGCAGGTGCTAAGTGACTGTTTGGTGAGTGAACATTTACCAATGAGAGTCAAACAGGGGTTTTTTCTTTATGTGTTTCAATGTTCCTGTGGTCTCTTTGAAGGCAACTGGTTCTTCCCTAAGAATAGCAGAGAATTGGTGGTAACTTACATTGTTACACAGGGCAATCATAGAGATTCTAATGAAGCAACAAATGAGAAGTCAGAGAAGTGAATGAGGTGGGGTGGGGGTGAGATGGGGAAGAGAATATTTGGGGAACATTCAAAAAAGGAAGAGAAGGACAGAGTGACAGAAAAGAGCAGGGGCATGAGAATATTAGATAGGGTGTTGGGAAGCCATTAAGTTTCATGCTTCAGTTGTATGAATGAGAAAAAAAATCCCCAAGAGGTAAAGTGACTTTTCAATGCCACACAAGACTTGTTCCGTAGCAATTGAGTGAGGGGAAGGTGAAAAGGATGGAAGCTCAAGAGGAGAGTCAGAACTGGAGGGGCAATGAGTCTGAGTAGGCAGTCCAGAGAACTGAAGGGAAATGAAATTCTGAGTCAGTGGCCCAGAGAACTAAAGGGGAAGTGAGAGTTGAATAGGTAATTCAGGGTTTAGGGAAAGAGCAGGTTTTTTTCTTTTTGAAGACAATGATTAACGGAAATGTTTTTCTGATAGAAGTAGAAGCAAGTCATAATAGAAATATTGTGAGGTAGGTTTGTTTAGAACAGAAATCAAAGACCAACTTTTCTGAGAGAAAGAAAGAACATCTGCAAATGAAATGCTGTTCCTGCAGCTTCTATTGCTAGCAGTTCTCCTCCCAGGTGGCAACAATAAAGATGGTAAGAACTCTGACAACCGGCCAGTTGGATGCAAGAGGGTCTATGTGTGTGTGTGTGTGTGTGTGTGTGTGTGTGTAGGTAGTGGGTTTTCCCCAGCATATGCGTAGAGAGTGAAAGTGTCAGCCTTGTTCCTTTCTGGGTATCTCTGACCAGGTCCTTGTGTTCTTGTGCAGGCTGGATACAAAGCATGGGGCCCTGAAACAGGAAAGTGTCTCTTGATATAACACTATGGCTCTTATTTCCTTCAGATTCTAAGTTTCCCCTCTATTTCACCTTTATTTATCCATTCTCTGTCCTTCCCAATGTCTGTTTTTGTCCTTATTTTATCTGCTCTTTTGCTACAGACTTCCATCAGCCAGTCTCCTTCCAAGTCATCCAGATCTCATCCTTTTACAACCATTCTTGGTTCCAAACTTTGGGCTCAGTCTGGTTGGATGAGTTCCAGATTCATGAGTGGGAGAGCAACTGTGGCAGTTTCATTTTCCTGAGGCCCTGGTCCAAGGGCAACTTCAGAAATGAGGATTGGATGGAACTAGGGAAGTTATTCCATATGTTCTCCAGTGGAAATCTTCAGGCATTTCCCAACCATGCCAGTCAATGGCAGCATGAATGTGAATTCTATTCCTTCCACAGGGAGTGGGGATATTGGTGGAAGTGTGTCTATGTCTCAATGAGTTTCTTTTTCTTCTACGAAACAGTCTTCATTCACTTCTGAACCTTACCTCCTCTCATCATAAATCTGCAATTACGCACTTCTGGGCAGACTGTAAAATTGAAATCCTGATTCTACAAAAGCTTCGAGTCATCTGTTACTTACAAACTCCTCTCTCATTGACATCAGGCTTGTGCCTTATTATCTTCCATCAGTGGTTTCCAGTGACCACTCCTTTCCCTGGCATCCAACAAGATACTCTCAGCTTCCTCACTCTTTGATTGACTCCTTAAAGAAGGATTTTCTCCCCCATTCCATCTCTTCAGCAATCTGTCAACACATTCACTGTAATCTATTGCATTCCATTCATTCTACATTATTATAATGGCAACTCTCTCACATTCAGTCCTACCTTATTCTCTTGTCCAAAGCATTCATTTTGCGTTATTTCAACAATTTGGCCCCTTCCTCATTTCATCCATCTCTTCCTCCAACTACCACTAATTTCTCTTTTTCAGAACCTCTGTTGAAACCAAACTTTGCCCCATCCCCTCAAATCTCCTAGATTTTCCCTTCTGTTTGTATTGTCTTTTGCTTCCATTCATTTCATTTTATATTTTTTACTCCCTCCTAATTCCCAACCCCTCTTCCCCAGATCCCTTTGAGTTTCAGACAGCAGGAGACTGTGAGCTGCACTTTGGGGCAGCCTCAGTAGGCTTCATGGGGGTTTCTTATCAAGGATCAGATTTCTTGAGCTTCCAGAACAATTCACGTTTGCCATCTCCAGAGGGTGGAATTAGGGCTCAGTATGTTTGCAGACTATACAGTTTGGACCAAGTCACCCTGGAAATAATACACAGGCTCCTCAGTGACACCTGCCTCACTTTCACTTGAACCTTCTTGATGCAGCAAAGGCAGATGTCCAGCGACAGGGTCAGTGCTGCAACCTTACTCAAAGAATTCTCTATTTTAAAATCATACCTTCCCATTAGCCCCTTCCCACCTTCTTAAGAAGGAGCCAAGAGGAAAAGAGAATCATAGGTGACAGATTCCTAGAGATTGTAAAAATGTGTCTCTCTAAACTGATGTGTAGATTTGAACCTCTAAGTCTGTGTTAGAGTCCTCATCTGATTATCTTTCCTATCCTCTGCAGAAAGGCCAGAGGCCTGGCTATCTATTGGCCACAGTCCTGGTCCTGGACATCTGATTATGATTTGTTACCTTTCTGGCTTCCACCCAAAGCCTATTTGGGTGATGTGGATGTAGAGTGAGCAGGAGCATCTGAGTACTCAGCAAAGTGACACTCCCAATGTAGATGGGGCATGGTATCTTTGGAAGTTCTTAGATGTGGAAGCCATTGAGGCAACTGGCCTGTCTTGCCAAGTGAGACACAGCAGTCTAAGAGGCCAGGACATCATCCCCTACTAGAGTAAGAAAGAACTGGGGCCCAAGCTGGGAATAGGAGTAGGTGATCCTCAAGCAGACCAGGAGATGAAAAATTTGGGATTCTAGGGACTACAGACTCAAAAGAAATAAAAGTAAGTTATCAAAGAAATAGAAAACTGGAAAATGAGGGATCTGCAGATGTAGGAGGATGTTGAGGGTTAGATGAAGTCTTCATCTCTAAAAAGGGATGAAAGAAGAAATAGAAAGAAAGGACATATTGGTGGGGCAGACACTCAAATGAATAAAAGAAGACCAGGGAAATGCAGTAAAACAGAGAGTGGATTTGAAATGACACCCTCGTTTGCTCCAAAATCCACAGAACATCACATCTCCGTGGGTTTGATCTTGACAGTGATAATGTCCGTGGTGCTTCTGACAGGTCTTGAATTTTGGCTTAGGAAGTGGTGGTGAGTTCTTTGTATCCATCCTTCCCAATCTTTCCCCACTCCCCACTTTTCTTCCCATCTTTTTTGTTTTCTCTCTCCTCAGTTCTCCTCCCAGTCCCCTTCCTTCTTACTCTTCACTTCTCACCTTCACCTCATGCAGAGTAACTTCCATCTTTGTTCTTGACAGGACACACTGTGAAATTCCAAGGATTCTTCTCCCTTTGGAATGAGATCCCAGCAGCCAAGAGGCTCAAGACATATCTAAACTTATCCCTGTGTTGATATTCTTTCAACTTTCCTTGTACAACTTTGTGTGTTGTTGTTGAGTTTTGCTTAATCGTCAGTTGTCAATACAAGCTAAATATAATTTTGGAGGATTTGTTGTTCTGACCTGGGTTCTGGAACTTAAATCTCAAATTATAACTCTGAATGGATGAGATCCTAGCGAGCTTCACACATTCAGATATTAGTGGGTCATCATGTCCATTTCAGATGCCACTTCCTCCAGAGGGCCTTCCCTGATGCACAAGTGGAAGCAGTCTCTACCTTGTCTGAGTTCCCAGCACACTTGAATTGTACTTTGCCCAATCTAATCCTCACTTCCTTCCCTTTATTGCAGCTACTTAGAGTGCTTTTCCCCTATAATTTTTATGCTATTTGAGAGCAAAATCCATGTCTTTTTATTGTTGATATCCTTGGCAAAGTGTCTCACCTGCACGTAATATGATCTCAATAAAAACCTGTGTTGAATTTATGCCATATTTATAGTCTATTCTTATTCTTTTTCTTCCTGACACCTTTGTAATACTTGACACATTTCATGATTTCCTTGTTAAGAGTCTTCTCACTTTTCCAAGAGACTCAGACTTTCCTAATTCCTTACTGGCTTCACTAAACCCCTAAGGAAAAACAATGCTGCCTCTGACCATTCTTATATGTAACTAGAGAGACCTACTGGAGTGAACCTATTGCTCCCAGTATTCTAAACAAAAAGAATAAGGCAGGATGTAGGCCCTTGCTACTCAGTGTGGTTCAGGGATACACAGCAGTTATCACCTTGGAGCTTGTTAGAAATATAGAATCTTGGGCCTCACCTTAGAACTTCTGAATCATAATTTTCATTTATCAAAATCAACAGGGGATTGAAAGGTGCAGAAAAATTTGAGAAGCACTGATACAGGTGATGGATGAGAGTTAGTGCAAGTGTGTCACTGAAGAAAAAGAAGATGGTCAAAGACAGAGAACAAGAGTGTTGATCCTGGATTGAAGTGAGATCAAGGCAAAAAGAGAACATACAGTACATTCTCACTGTTCATGGCTGTTGTGTTAAAGTCACTGTGAACACTGAGTTTGTGAATATTGAATCATTGCTCCTTTGGGAAATACAGGGTTAGGTTCCTGGGAGCTTCTGGTCACAACATTTGTGTCACCTGATGAATACATAGCTTTGTTTTATGAGCGTTTCTATTTAAAGACACCTTATTTAATATATATTTATTTCCAAATGATTTATTTATTATATGCAGTATTCTTTTATAGTAAACCAGCCAACAAGTGTTTAACATATTCCCAACCCGGGTGATGTGTTGGTAAGTTTCTTGGGCTTTCATCTACATAGCTGTGCTATCCACTATGTTTTTAAAAACAAAGAAATAAAGAAGCAAACAAACAAAAAGCAGTAATCATCTCATGATTCCACTAATCTGGCTCCTTTTCCATCTTTCCGTAACTTTATCATAGCATTGTAGATATTACTTTAGCACTCTCTGGAGTGGCTCCACTTACAGATCAGCAAATTTCCTTTTCCTTTTTCTGGAATTACTGGATTGTTGATTCATTAACACTGAACTCTTGGCCCACAACCCTATAACTCTTGCCTGAACAAAGCTTATCTACATGTGCATCTTCTCCATAAGGCATATCACAGCCTTCTTGTGCTTAGGAACACTGACAGCTCTTCAGGACTATGTTTCAAGGCCATTTTAAATAGCAAAATTGCCAACCAAAATCACAAAAATGCAGAAAATGTGACACTCAATAGGCTGTGGAAAGGACACATTTACAGTTATGAGAACCAAAATAAGAAGGCAAAGTGGCACCTTGTTCAACCTCAGCTAGAAACATGTGAGGTGAGGTCTCAAATTTTGTGCTACTCTGCACATATCTATGAATGACTGTGACAGTATTGTGAATAGTTAGTTGGGGATTACAAACTTTAGCAGCAGCTGAATTAGCCAATACAGGATTCATGAACAATGGAGATCCACTCTTTCTAACTAATGACCATGAATGGCAGTGTGAGTCAACATACCCATGGCTAGACTTCAATTACTTTAGGATTTATTAATTAATTCAATAAATACTTCTTAAGCATTTACTTTGCAGCAGGAACTTATTGAGTATACAGTCACCGGGGAGAGAAAGAATTGCTATCTTCTGAGCTTGAAAATATTGCTGCCTTCATTTGATTCTAGAGTTTACTGTTTTCATTGCTTGTTGTTTCTTTCTTAGTTCCT